CATTCATTCATTCATTCATTCATTCATTCATTCATTCATTCATTCATATCCTGCCTTTATTATTTTTGTAAATAGTTCAAGGCAGTGGAGATACCTAATACAGGTAGTCCTTGACTACAACTGTTTGTTTAGTGACCATTCAAAGTTATAACAACATTGAAAAAAGTACATTATGAATTTCGCACTTGTGACCATTGCAGCATCTCCCAGGTCACGTGATCAAAATTCAGACATTTGGCAACTGACTCACATTTATGACGATTGCAAGTCAAAGATTACCTATATCTCACATAAGATAACACAGGAACCTCTGGATGCAGTTCAAGGTATTGGTTATAAATCATCAATTAAAATCTCATATGGCTTAGGATCTCCGTATAGGACAGTAGTCAACAACCAGTGAGCCAGGGACAACTGGTGGTCCGCAAGAAAATTTTGGTGGTCCGCAGAGAAATGTCACCCCCAAAGCATCCCCCAAAGCAATTAATCCAGGCTGTGCGGAAACACAAGGCTGCTCCGCCCACATGGCCCATGGGAACACAAGGCTTGCGTCATTTGCATTGCGAACAACACGAGGTAGTGAGGGGAGGGGGGGAAAGGGTGGAGGGGAGGAACTTGCCCCACTTGCCCCACATGCCTTGCCTGGTCACCCAGCTGCTTTTTACCACTTCTTTCTTCTTCTGCTTTTGGCTACATGCAAGGAAAGCAGCAAAAGTCTTTCTTTCTCTCCCCCAAACTCTGCCAGAAATGAATCTTTGGGATCCTGCAAGGCATCCTGCTCCAAGAGGCTGCACCGGCACAACAAATCTCACAAAGACTCATTTCTGGTGGAGTTTGGGGGAGAGAAAGAAAGACTTCTGCTGCTTTCCTTGCATGAAGCCAAAAGTCTCTCTCTCTCTCTCTCCCTCTCCCCCTGAGAACAGAACTGGAGACGGTATCCTGCGATCCCAAATAAAGAATGATCGATTGGTAGGAAAATGGGGTGGGGAATTGTCCCGCAGACTGTTTTGGGGATTTTCCCAGGGTCTCTGGTCCATGGGATTTAAAATTATGATTTTGGTAGTCCCTGAGGTCCAAAAGGTTGGCGACCCCTGCTATAGGAGATACAGCTTCCTCCAAACATGACCTGCCTGCCAGAGGCATGTCTGCAGGGGAAGTTTGCTGAGGATCTCTGTGAAATACAGCAAGAGGTGACCCTTTTCAGCAGGAGCTCCTTTCCCATGTAAATCTCTTCTTCCAGATGAAGGATCTGGTAGGATCTGGCAGAGGTATAAGATCTCTGCACCCTCAGTCCTGGTGTTCAGACAGCTTTGACAACACACCTTCAGAGACTGACATGTGAGTAGTTAAAGAGATGCTTGAGATTTGATAAAAGGCACCAATGATATATGGTGCTAAGTTTAATGATCACAGGATGATGATTTACTACGCTCGAATTAGGTTATTATAGTTTGGTTGACTGATTTGGTTTGGGATGATTGAATACGATTATTAACACTGTATTTATATTTTGCTGCTCACGTATCGTGAAAAGGAATGGAAGAATTGAAAGAAACAAAGCATTGTGATGATTGCTCGCTGCCCAGAGTCACTTTGTCTGAGATGGGCAGCTGTAGAAATTAAATAGATGAACAAATAAAATAAATATAACGAAGTCCACATGCGGCCCTTGGTTTCATTTCACATGGCACTCGGCCGAATTTCAAACATCCTTTGCAAATCACTGGTGGAGATATCTAATTGTTGTTAATTGTGTTTTTTTTTTCCCCTGATGGCCAGCTGGATAAGCAAGAAAAGGGGGAAGACAGGGAGAAGGTTGCATCTAATAGACAAATAATGGTGCTTTTTTTTTTTTTAACCAAACATCATCCTTGGTTTATTTAAATTGAACGAAGGAATGCTTCGCATTTACTGAAAGTGGCCCCAGAGGCAGAAGCACTTATAAGAGTCTGAAAGATGATTATCCACAATGATGGCCTGGAGAATCATTGTGGCCTTGAGTGGCTACCAGACAGCCACATATCGCAGGAAGAATACTTTCACAGTATGGCACTGATCAAGCGTAAGCACATCAATAGCTAAAACCTGGTCTCAGCATCCATTTGCATGCGCTGTTTTGAGACAATGTACATTGGTGGTGGGAACAGATCTGCAAGTTAAACTTCAATTTCCCAATGTACCTTTATAGTAGTCTTAGATTTATCTTGTGGTCTCTTATTCAAGAACCAACCAGGTCCAATCCTGCTTAGTATTCAACACCAGCCAAAGTTGAAAAAACATTTAACTTTAATGTTTCTTCTGGTTCCTTTCCTATATGAAAGTCGAAGTGTAGGTACAAACTTGACTGCGGAAAATACGACTTCAGCAACAGAGTGGTCAATGTTTGGAATACTCTACCTGACTCTGTGGTTTCTTCCCCAAACCCCAAAAACTTTAACCTTAGACTGTCTACTATTGACCTCACCCTCTTCCTAAGAGGCCTGTAGGCCGTCCATAAGCGCACCAATCATGCCTACAGTCCCTGTCCTATTGTTTTTTATTTTCTTATATGTATCTGTCTCATGTATTCAAAACTATATTTATTCTTATACCTGTATCTTGTAAGTGATTGACAAATCAAATAAATACTAAAATAGCTTTATAGTAGTCTTAGATTTATATTGTGGTCTCTCGTTCAAGAACCAACCATCCAATCCTGCTTAGTGTTCAACACCAGCCAAAGTTGGATAAACATTTAACTGTAATGTTTCCTCTGGTTCCTTTCCTATATGAAAATCGAAGTGTAGGTACAAAGAGTTCTTACGTCTCAGTCATCCAGGTCATAGTTCTCCCAAAGGAGCTTTTTGCAAGAGGCAACCGGACTTTTGGTTTTTCTTCGAAGAGGTTTCTGTTCTCTTTGAAGAGAAGAAAAACATCTTCAAAAAAGACTCCCCCCCCCCAAAAAACAAAACCAAGGAAGTCCAATTGCCTCTTGAAAAAGCACCTTTGGGACAAGGAGTTCTTGCCCTAAATTAATCAGTGGGGCACTGGACGGGGGTGGAGAAAGGAAACCACGCTTTCCTATATGATGTCCTGATTCAACATTGTATTATGTGATCTTTGGATAGACCATGATTTGTTTAGGACAAAAGTGGTTGCTTTTTGGGGTGCCCTTTTAAGTCCGTTTTGGCCTCTGGTGACTCCCTGGACCCTGTAGTTTTTTTGGCAAGATTTCGGAAGTGACTTGCCCTTCCCTCCTCCTCCTCCTCCTCCTCCTCCTTTGGGTTTGTCCAAAGTCACCCAAGTGGCTTCTTGCCTAAGGCGCGCTAAACCCCATTCCACGTTTTCCAAAGCAGACCACCCAAGTGGCTTGAGGTGAGGTCACCGTAACCACGCCAAACAGCAGACACCGCTCCGTTTAGCAAGACGGACGGACTCCCCGACCGAGCCTCAAAACAACAATGCGGGGAGAGGCGTGGCTTCGGAAGGCAGCTGCAAGCGGCACCTCGGGCGCTTCCCCAGCAAGACACCGTCGCCGCGCCGCTCACGGGCAGTCCGGCGCGGCAGAGCTGTCCGCCCGCTCGGCCGGCTGTCAATCATTCTTCCCTCCCAACCACTCACTCACCCACCCACCCACCTCGCGACAGGACAGGCAGGCTGGAAGTCCCGCGCGCTCGCGGGTCCAACTCCGGGCACCTGGCCGCGCGCGTCTCCGCGCGCCGTGTCGGACAGCTCCTGGACGCCCGGCGCCGCGCGCTACTTGGACACTTTCCCGAGCCCTCTCTCCGCCTTCCCACCCCGGGCGCGCCGTCGCCCCCAAGAAGAAACGCCGCTTCCCCTTCCTCGCTCCGCTGATTGCGGGATATTCTCGCAGGCGATCGCGCGCACGCTCACTCACTCACACACACACACACACATACCGCACACACACAAACACACACACACACACCTTCCTCCCTCTCTCTCTCTCTCTCTCTCTCATGCACGCACAGGCCCCTCCTCTACTTCATCACCAAAGCCCTCTTTCTTCGGAGAAAGCAGCAACAGCCGCCCAAGCGAGCGGGCGGGGGTGGCGGGCGGCGACGGACTGAGCCGCCCTCCTCTTCCTCCTCCTCCCCTCCCTCCCCTCCCCTCCCCTTGCCTTGCCTTTCCCGGCACCGCCCCACCTCGCTAGCCTCTAACCCCGCGCCCATCTGCCTCTCGGAGCGATCCCAGCCCGGACCTGCCGCCCCTCCTCCCTCCCTCCCTCCCTCCCTTTCCCCGCTGCCTGGTGGCGAGATCTCGTCCTCCTTCCGGCTGGGATCCCTTCCTCGCCTAGACGGCTGTCCCCTCTTACGTCGCTCCCGCAGCCTTTCCCGGGCGGCTCTTCCTAGCCTGGGCTTTGCCCCCGGGATGCCTCCGCTTTGGGGAAAGCCTCGCTGACCCGCAGCTCTGCCCAGCCCGGGCGCAGCCGCCTCTGGGGACGCCGACAAGGCGCCTCCCGCTCGCCTGGAAGATCCGGCACCTTGGACAGCGCCCCAGGTAGGGATCCCTCGTTTTCTGGCCTACCGTGGGAAGGAGCGGCGAGCGGCGCCAGAAAAAAAAAAAAAGCCTTTTGTCTGATTCCATCGCTTCGCCCTTTTGGTGGGACAGGAAAATTCGTAGCGCCGGGAGGGCGACCTGGGAAAAAGCTATTCCGGGTCAATAAATGGAGAGGGGATTGGGGCAACCCGGGGGGCATTGGGATGTGGGAAGGGTGACGGGACCACTGTAGCGTGCGACTCTAGCAGGGTATCCATCAGCGAGGTTCGCTCTGTGGCAAAGTGCCAACGCTATCCCTCGTGTCCAGGGCAGCAATTTACAGAGCGGGTGCTTTGCAGCAAGCCTTGGATTTACGCCTGGTGCCAACCGGGTTGATTTAATGCCTTGTCCCCAGAGCCAGGCCAGGGAGACAGCTCAATCCGGAACGAGGAGGAAGTCGGAGAGCTCTCGTTCTGTGCGTTTCCAGTGTCCTGAAGGCACTCGAGAGAAGGGAGGGCTAAAGAGGCACATTTTAAGCAAAGAGCCAGGCTCAGCTGACATCTAGGCCTTGCAACTTCCCATGTGCCATCTTGCCCCTTCTGATACTTAGACCTTCCACCCCCCTCCTCCTGTTTGGGGCACCAGCTTTGGCTCCCAGATGGCATGCTTGCCCAGCCAACTAGCATCCCAGAAAACTCACCTCTCCCCCTTTTAAAGCATGACCTTCCCCCCTCTCGTCACTAAACTTTTCCTAAGGCTTGGGTGAACATTCTGCCATAGGACAGTTTCTTAACTCCCCTCTTTCTGTCTCTCATCCAGGTAGGGCAGGCATCTGTGGGAATAGGGATGTGGTTCCATAGGCAGGGGAGTTTGCCTGCCTGCAAAAGCTCACCTGTAATTCCTTTGGACTTCTGGGATTCCACCACCCATACCCTGTATGGGGATGACCCCATCCGAAATCATGACCTCACCATGCCAGCTTTCTCCCTTGACCACCGCGGGCAACAGTTCTCCCCCGATTCAGTGGATGCTTAGGAAATTGGGTTAATGTGCACCTCAAGCCCTTGAGGCAGCTGCAAGCATGCCTCCAGGCAATGAATAGTCTGTCTTCAGCAGTGTGGAGCGAGGATTTGCTCAGGGGTAGCTGCAGCCTAAATCTAAATGTAACATAAAGAGAGGTGGCAAGCCCCCAGGCCCTCAGCTCCACGGAGGCGGTGGACGTCCAGCTGGGGGACCCACTCTGGCCAGGAGCTGATGACGGATGCCAAAAGGTTCTAAACCCGCTTTTATGCAGCAGGGATGGAACAGGAAGGTAAATACAGTATACAGGCACCGGTAGCAGGTGAAGATCAAAAGCAATCTCAAAGATGAGCAGGTTTTTCAGGGCATACAGGTAGTCCTCAACAATTCAGCCCCAAATTTATGCTGCTAGGGGAGACATTTGTTACGGGAGTTTTGTCCCATTGTACGACTTTTCTTGCCACGTTTTGTTATCTGAATCCTTGCAGTTGTTAAATGAGTAACACCGTTGTTAAGTGAATCTGGTTTCCCCCGTTGACTTTGCTTGTGAGAAGGTCACAAAAGGGGATCCCATGACCAACCTCCCCAGGATTCTGCAACCGTCATAAATGTGAGTCAGTTGTCAAGCATCTGAATATAAATCACGCGACCCCCCCCCCCCGGGGATGCTGCAATGGTCGTAAGTGTGAAAAATGGTCACAAGTCACTGTTTTCAGTGCCAGGGTAACTTAAAACGGTCACAAATGAACTTGTTGTAAGTTGGGAACTCCCTGTGTTCTTTTAAAAATCTCTTCGCTGGGATCAGGAACCATATTTCCAGTACGACACGCGCTCATGCCTATGTCTACACACAGGGGTCTCATCCTAGCTAACTAGCTCTAATGAACGTCCTACAATGACCCCAGTTCCGAAATCCACATCCACATGGTATTTGCACGCCTGCACATGGAAAGTCCTAAGCGTTTGGGCAAGATTGACACCTTCTGTGATCCCTGGGAAGCCAAAGCCTCGAAGTTTTCCTTACTAGTGTACCCTTCGCTCAGGGGGTGAGGTTGCTGGTCTCCATTCTAACATGGAGCTTTAGATGCCCCCATAGGCAGAGGGGAAGTCTACCTTTCTGCACTCAGCTGTCCAGCTTTAAAAACAAACAAACGAACAAACTAGCCACAGGCAGGGGCATTTCTTTGTTGATTTGTTTTAAAGGTTTTTTTTTCTTTCTTTCATGTAAAGAGGTCTGCAGTGTCACATAGCAGGTGACGACTGAAAAGTCCAGCTTCTGTTTGCTGCGCTTTGAGCAGTAACTGAGAAAGAGGATCATGTTGCGAGAAACAAAATACCGCGTGGAAAGTATGGCCAAGTGCATGCCATTTTGGAACAGAACTCTGTGAATCAGGGGGTTTGGGCTGCAGCCCAGTCGGCCTGCATGCGCACCCACGTTTCTTCCTTCCTTAATGCCGCTTTGTGTACAAATATGGGCTTGTTTACAAATTGCATATGATGAAATGGAGCCTAATCCACCGAACCGTATGCTGCAACACATTTCTTAGACTTTAAAGTACCACAATGCTCTTTTGATTTTGTTGTGATAGAGTGGCCCGGCTCTCTCTCTCCCTCTCCCTCTCTCTATCCCTCTCCTTCCCTACCTCTCTCTCTCTCTCTCTCTCCCCCTCCCTCTCTCCCTCCCCCTTCCCTCCCTCTCTCTCTCTCTCCCTCCCTCTCTCTCTCTCCCTCCTTCTCTCTCCCTCCCTCCCCTTCCCTCTCTCTCCCTCCCCCTCTCCGTCTCCCTCCCCCCTCTCTCTTTCCCCTCCCTCTCTCTCCTACCCCCTCCCTCCCTCCCCTTCCCTCTCTCTCCCTCTCCCTCTCTCCTCCCTCTCCCTCTCTCCCTCCCTCTCCTTCCCTCCTCTCCCTCCCTCTCTCCCCCTCCCTCTCTCTCCCTCTCTCCCTCTCTCCCTCCCCCCCTCTCTCTAAATGGCTGTGCCTACTCAGAGGTGAAGGAATAAATAATAAAGTGCATGATGTGAATATAAACCTCATGAAGATTTGCCTTACTGGTGCAAGCCTCACGTTGGAAGGATGAGAGGGCAGGATTACAGCAAAGCCTGAACTTTACTCAGGTGAATTGTCTACAACAAAAGGGGCCCAGGGTGGCCACTAGAGTGTGGCAAGTAATAGAGAGTAAAAAAAGAAAGAAAGAAAGAAAGAAGACTTGGCTTTCTCCGTGTCTCTTTTTAAATAACAATGCATCGAGGCTTATTCCCAAGGTAATGCATTTAGCATCGAAGTAGCAGGGAGGAAAGATACATTTCTATTCCTATCAGCATGATGGTGCCATAATTTTAAATGACTTTAAAATGCAAAACCGCATATGGCACGACTGAGGAGTTGCCTTTTGCTGGTTTGTGTAGAAGCCGTTGCAAAATATTGGCTGGCGGCAGAGGAAAACTGAGCTGTGTGCTTTGTACACTGAAGTTGTACATCAAAGCCTTTTATCTTGCAGACTCCAGCAACTCCATTAAGCTCCAGCTCCTTTGCCACCCTGCTGGCCCAGCAGACTAGTGCTCATCGGCGCGTGAGATCCAAGCCAAGGAGGCCCTGTGTTCAAATCTCTTCCCGACTGCAAGCAAATCCGATGGGTTTTAGGCAAATAAACTCACTTCTCAGTTTCACTTTGGTAAAATGGGGATCACAACGACAACTACAAGTACAACCACTTTATGGTGATGAATTAAAGTGCAAGTAGTCCCCGACTTACGACCACAATTGAGGCCCAGAATTTCTATTGTTAAGCAAGGCAGTTGTTAAGTGAGGTTTTACAACCTTTTCTGCCACCATTGTTGTTAAGCCAATCACTGCAGTTGTTAAGTGAATCCCATTGTTAAGTGAGTATGGCTCTTCCTCCTTGACTTTGCTTGTTGGATGCCGTCTGGGAAGGTACCAAGTGGAGATCACATGACTCCAGGATGCCACACGTATCTACATGCCACTTGCCGAGCATCTGAATTGTGATCACATGACCACGGAGAGGCTGTGACGGTCATAATGCGAGGATGAGTTGCAAGTCACTTTTTTAAAGTGCCACTGTAACTTCAAACAGTCACTAACTGAAAGGTTGTAAGTTGAAGACTAGCTGTGGATATATTTGGTCTGAAAGCCACCTCAACAAACTTTTGGATGATATAAGTATCCAAAGTCCGCGGACATGTCTGCATCCATCCAACCGGCATTCCTCAGATGTTGCAGACCTGAACTTTCCTGCAATCCCTGAGAACTCGGGTTAGCTATCCCTGATAGAAATGGATAAATAAATTGATGTCAATAAGCAGATAACAATGTCAAGATAGAATTCTTTGCAATACTGGCGAATATCTGTAGCTTGGGTGTAGGATGAGGGTGAAGGTTCGTTCCCAGAGATTGTGGGTTGGCTTCAGAACGTTTCATTACCAGGCCAGGTAACATCTTCAGCGGAGTTGAGGGCATGTCAGTCGGTGTTCCTCTGTTTATAAGGGCTTCAGGTATGGGGGTGTCAAGTGATGGCCTTGTGAAAGATGACCCATCACAACACCTGTCACAACACGTGACACCCTTACACCTGAAGCCCTTATAAACAGAACACTGACACTGACATGCCCTCAACTCCACTGAAGATGTTACTTAGCCAGGTAACGAAATGTTCAGAAACCAACCCACAAGCTCGGAGAATGAACATTTATCCTCATAGAATTCTTTGAAAGGTCCATGAACGACTAGGGATTATAAGATGCCCTAACTCCGTGATGGCGAATCTATGGCCCACATGCCACAAGTGGCACACAGAGCCATTTGTGCCAGTACGCGAGCTGCAGGCAAACTTACCTCACTGCGCATGCACACGCCTCCCAGCTGATTTTCAGCCCATTTGAGGCCTATTTCCAGAAATACCAGAAGTGATGAAACAGGCCTATTTTTCGGCCTGCAAAGGCTGCAGAAGCTTTCCTCAAGCCTCTGGGAGGCCGAAAAAGGCC